AAGAAATCATCATATAGGTAAGAAAATAGATTTTGTAAAGCATGGGTTACCTCTTGTAGCCTAAACCTTCACTTATCACACCCTTTAAAGCTTCTAACAAGGCTCTCCTTCAACTCCAACTTCAAGAACACACCAAAAGACAACAAAGATTCTATCTTTAAGAAAAGACACTTTAAAAGGTATTAAAATCACTAAAGGACCAAAGATCTTACCCTCCTATATGCTCAAGATTAAGAAAGGTTGAATCTTGGAGACCAACTTGAAGAATCTTGGAATGCCCAAACTTGGCTTGAAGAAGAAGCTAACTAAATTCTAGAGAGAATGAGGAGCTTTTGTTTTTAGGGTGTTAGGAAAGAAATGAAAGATGACTCTAGGTTAGCTTGGGATACAAACATAAGGTGAAAAGTCTACTTTACCCTTACTAAAGTGGGAAAGTGTAAGGAGATAAGGGAACAATTCTTTAAGCTTAGAGTACAACTCCTTGACTTGGGTTGACTAGTCAATTTCTAGTCCCCGACTATTGAATTTTCAGGATTTTAGGAATACATTATCAATTAGACTAGGATTAATTACCTAAAACTAGGACCATGTCGTCTAATGGTACCCGGGCTGGACTTCCATTTGGAAGATTATAAGTTCGAGCCTCACTACAACGTAATAGAGCCAGTAGCTTTCAAAAAAAATTACCTAATTAATCCTTAAATGAAATTTGGATTTACCCCATGCTCTTGGGAATATAACCCCTCCAAATTCATTCTGTGAACCAAACGTGCGGTTAATATACAAATAATCGGCAAATGTGGTTAGGAATAATAATTCCATTAATTTGATTAATTTTGAATCGAACTAATTGAATTCTTATTTTGAGGAATTGTTACAATGTTACCTAATCAAACAAACTAAATTATACTTTAACTAATTCGATTAATTGGTCCATAATCAAATTTTTATTATATAAAATTTATTTTATATTATATATTTGATAAAATCATTTGTCCACAAAAGAAGCATCCAACAAAATTGATATGGCAAATTAGTAAAATAAGTGATAGTGAACTTATCTGTCATATAAGAACGTTTAATTCAAAAATGAGTGGTTATAAAATTTATTTTCACAATTACATTAATTTTAAGAAGCACCAACTACTTGCATTTTAAGTGAGTACAATATTTAATACCTAGTTCACACCAAATTATTTGACACCAACATGAATTCAGTTTTAGTGGCAAACATTGATTACAACATAACTTCACACAATATTCATCGATTTAATTATAGTGACAAAGTCATTGTAACAATTAATTACTCGTCACAATTATCATAAATTAGTGACAAAACTTGAAATCAACACAATTATTGTCACAATTTAGTAATTTTTGTTACGAAATTATAGAGCGTCACAAATATTTGTAACAATTTTACACAAAAAAATTACAATATTAGTGACAACAGTATTTTTTCTTACAATTTTTTTCTCATTTCTAATGGTACTAACCAATTGTATTTTTATTCACAAAAAAAGTTGTCATAATTATTATAAACAAGAGTGACCAACAACTATTTGTCACAAAAAGTACAAAAAATTTGTGTCCACATTATATTTTGTCACTTTTACATTCGTTCCCGCCATAATTATAATACCGCCAAAATGCAAATACATTTAGTGACAACAAATAGTGACAACGTATGTTACGACATTATTATTCTCGTAATAGTGACAACTTATTCATAACAAATACTTACTTGTCACAATTATCATATTATCCGTGACAAAAAAAAAAAAAAGGTTATCACAATTATCTCACATAACAGTGTCGAATTATTTTTTTGGTCACAAAAAAGATATTATTTGTGACTAAATTATGAAGTGTCACAAAAAGTTTGTCATTAAATATCTTCATTCTTGTAGTCTTGGCACTACTGATATGATGTAGAAATATTAACCAACTGATTTGATAAATTATGATATAAAGGATTTTTCTTATTTGTAATTCAAATTTAATTTCTAATATTAAAAAAAAAACATTTACAGTTCTAAATTAATAATTAAATATATTCTAATTTCATTCTTCTCGTATCGTATCGTTTGTCAATCATTGAAAAGTCTAACTCGCTCCAAATATACTATTCCGGCCTGACTCCATTGTCTCTAAATCAAGAATGTATTGTGGATTGAACTCTTTAGAAAGATTGAAAGGTAAAAAAGAAAATTAAAATACTAAATATCTATACTTATAGGCAAATATAATTAAATACAAAGTAACATATTCTATTATTATGACTGTCAATGTATTAGAAATTTTAGTTATCTTGAATAGATGAACAGTAAAATAAGTTCTGTTTTTAGTGTCGAACCCAGTTGTGCAGTGGGTGCATTGATTCTTTGACTGAACAAGATTTAGTAAGTATAAAATATATACTATTTTGTCAGGGGCGAATTCAGAAAATTATGTGAGTGGGGGCGTACTTCAAATGACTTTAGAATTGTCAATGACAAAATATCAAACACATATAATATATTCAAATACATTATAAATTATAATACAATGTTTACAATAGATTACAGGATAGTTAAGGCGAAGCCAAAACTATACTTGGGTATGGTGAAATTTTAACCTGATGAAGCACACAGAGTCAACAAACAGGATAGTTAAGGTGAAGCACACAGAGTCAACAAACAGGATAGTTAAGGCAAAGCCAAAACTATACTCAGCCGCCTCAAGGCTTGATCTCATGACCTCCCACATAGAAGAGGTCACTACATGCCATTTGAGCACAAAGTGTTTGGCAAAATATAAAACATAATCAATTAGATAAAATAGTTTGAATAGAAAAGACATTATATTCATAAATACTTTAATTTTAATAGAAAAGACATTATATTCATAAATACTTGTTCTTCAAAAAAATATTCATAAATACTTTAATTTTAATTTTCTTTTAAATATATCAACTTTAATTTTTTCTAAATTAATTTGAATACGATATGATGAAGTATAATATAAACTTGTGGTCTACATTAACTAAATGACTCACAAAAAAGTAGGCTTAAAAAACATTTAATTTATTTAAGGCTGGGAAGAAATAAAATAAAGAAAAGAAGTAAAAATATATATACACATAAAAAAGTAGAATTTAGAGAAAAATATTTAATTTATTGAAGGGTAGGAAGAGTTAAAATAAAGAAAAGAAGCTAAGATATACAAGGGGTTTGAACTTATGACATTTTATATTAAATCATATCCATGGTTCAACCAACTAAATTTTTTTTGATCAAGAAGAGGGTGAAAAACCCGGGGAAAAACTAGTGGGTGCTTCCATGAGTGTGCCCAAAACTGCTTCCATGTTGAACTCTAACGCCTACTTTATCTTCCCAGAGCAACGGCATGAGCTGAGCAGGCGGGAACTCAAAGATTGTTGTACCCAGCGAGTGAGTGAGGGCGGAGGCCGCAAGCTCATCAGCGACTCTGTTCTGTTCCCGGATAACATGGTTGAAGTGCAGTTCCTCAAATTTGTTTCTCTCCTGCTCGCATGCCAACAGGATATTGCTTCCTCTGCCCGAACTCTGGGCGACCGAATTCAGGGCCCGTATTGTTCTGATGGAGTCGCTCTCAACAACTAGTTTCTGGACCCCGTGGTTCGCCGCTAAACGCAGCCCTTGGAGCACCGCCCAAGCTTCGGCTTCCTCCGCAGAGCATGACCCGATGTGGTGGGAGAAGCCTCGAATCCACAGCCCCTGGCAATCCCGTATGACTCCTCCGCAACCTGCCCGCATAGAATCTCCCTTACAACATCCATCCACGTTCAACTTGAGCCACCCTGCGGCCAGCTTTATCCACTTAGCGACTTCATCTCCCGAAGCTGCCGATTTGGTCGTGGGCGCCCATCTGCTTCGGAACGCAGCCTTCACCTCGTTACATTGGTCGCGAACCCAGTGGCAACGATGAGTGATGCTTGTGTCCGTTCTTTCAAACACCCGGGCGTTGCGCCACCTCCAGCACCACCATAACGTAATTCCAAACGCTTCCCGCCAACCCTCCGGGAAACCCATGCGCGTTCCAGCCCGCAAGTTCGCAGCGAACCATCCCTTCCAGTCCATCGCTTTGAGGCGTTGCACAGTCACCGCGGGGAGCTGCGACTCCCACAGCCCTGCCACCACCGGACAGTCTCGGAACAGGTGCAGCAGCGTCTCCGAGGTACCTGCACATAAAGAACACGAGTCATCTAACGTAAAATGTCTCCTCACTCTCTCTACGTTCGTCATCACTTTCTCATGCTTAACCAGCCAAAGGAACACCGTCATTTTGTTGGGAATCTGAGTTTTCCAAATGATCTTCCAATCTTGATCAATACCCCCGCTCTCCTCCTCCTCCATATCCTCATATGCAGACTTGATCGAGAACTTGCCCCGTGCATCCTTACTCCACCCCCATGTATCCTCCTCGGCGCTCTCGTCCAGCACGATAGACGCATTTATCTTCGCTTTCCACACTGCTGGCAGCGCAGCATCAAGCATCTCCCACTTCCATCCGCGCCCATGCTCCCAATACTCCGCCACTGTCGCGTACAGCTCCGGTAAAGGCAATGGAGCAGTAATATGGTCGTAGAGCCGGTCGTCGGTTGCCCAGCTATCCATCCAAAACTGGGTAGTTTTGCCATTGCGTACCACCCTAGTTAGGCCTCGCTCCAGTGTAGGTGCCGCATTAACGATTCCTCTCCACACATTTGACATCCGGCTTCCTGTTGCCGCACCACTCATCCCCCTATGCGCGGAATACTTGTGCGTCAACGCTTGTACCCAAACGCTTCCTGGTTCGGTTTTCATTCGCCATCCCAGCTTCGCCATGAACGCTACGTTGACAGCACGAAGGTTACGAATCCCCAGTCCTCCATTGCGCTTAGCTCGTGTCACCGTGTCCCACTTGACCAAACTCATTGCCCTGTTATCGCCATTGCCACCCCCCCCCCCCATATGAAGCGTCGGGTGATCTTCTCGAGCTTATCGCAAATCCCTATCGGCATCCACACCGTTTGCATGGTGTACATAGGCATTGCACTGAGAACAGCTTTTGCCATCGTGACTCGCCCAGCCAAAGTGAGGGTTTTTTGACTTCCACCCGTCTAATCTGGCTGCAACTCTCTCGATCAGTCCATTGTACAGCCCATGCGTTACCCGCCCGTGTATCGCTGGTACTCCGAGGTAGCGGCTAAGGTCTGTGGTTTTCATCATATGCAGCGCATTGGATATTTCCTGCGCCAACATCTCATTAGTGTTGCTCGAAAAATAGACTGACGACTTAGCAAAACTGACTTTTTGCCCCGACGCCTCACAAAACAAATCCAGGCAGCGCATAATGACATTGACTTGATCAATAGTTGCTTCGGAGAATAGCACCATGTCGTCTGCGAAACATAAATGAGATAGGACCGGCCCCGAGGGCGCCAAACGGATCCCTTTCCACGCTCCGCTGTTCACCGCAGCGGATATAGATTGACAGAGGCGCTCAATGCAAAGTACAAACAGAGCTGGAGATATCGCGTCCCCTTGGCGTACTCCCCTCCCAGGTTTGAACTGATCCGTGCGATTTCCATTCCATACAATGGACATAGTGGGAGTGCTGACACATTCCATGATCGCCCGCACCCATCCTGCTTCAAACCCTGCATCAACAAGGGTATCTTTAATAAAATCCCAATTTAAACGGTCATAAGCCTTTTCCAAGTCAATTTTAATGGCCATTAGGCCTGTTTTCCCTTTCTTCAGGCGCATGGAGTGCAGCACTTCTTGAAACAAAATCACGTTATCCATGATTTGTCTTCCCGGGACGAACGAGCTCTGGAACGGCCCAACCAAACCTGGCAAAACAAATTTAAGACGGTTAGTGAGGTCTTAGTTATCACTTTGTACAGCACATTGCATAGACTAATTGGCCGGAACTGCTTGATGGTTTCTGGCAGTTGAACCTTGGGAATAAGCACAATAAGAGTATCATTCACTTTCTCTGGCATTTTGCCTGTTTCAAGGACCGAAGCTACCAACTCAAACACTTCGTCGCCCACTACGTCCCACATCCTTTGGTAAAAGGCCGCATGGAGGCCATCTGGGCCTGACGCCTTTAGTGGGCTCATGTCGAAAACAGCTGTTTTAACTTCATCTTTGTCTACCTTTCTATTGAACATCTGCCAGTCCTCAGCGTTAAGAGTAGGAAACAGGCCCCGTCCCATGGCCCCCACGTGTGCACCTTGGTCCCCTCTGAAGAGGTTCATGTAGAAATCTTGGACATGACGTTGGAGGGCATCTTCTTCAAACATCCAGTTGCCGGAGTCATCTTTTAATCCCCGGATTCGATTCTGCGCTTTGCGTACCATGGTGGCTGCATGATAAAATTTAGTATTCCTGTCACCAGATACGATCCATTCCTCCCGTGACCGTTGGAACCACATTAGTTCCTCTTGGTATAGCACTTCCTCCAAGGCACTTTTTAATTTACCCTCGAGCTTCAACAAGCCTCTGTGAAACGAAGTCGCCAACGCCCGCTGGATCCCTGCTATACGGGCTAGAAGGATTCTTTTCCTAGTCGTGATGCTCCCGAACACCTCCTTGTTCCAGGTTATAAGGTGTGCCTGTACATTATTGATATTTCCCTGCACTGTCGCACCTGGGATCCAGGCCCGTTTAACTACCTGGCCAAAACCCGGATCAGTTAACCAGGCCGCTTGGAGCTTGAACTAGGCGTTGCCCCCAGATCTTCTTCTTGCCGTGGTATGTAGCAAAAGGGGCGAATGATCCGAAGAAACCCGTGGTAGATGTTGCACGAATGCTTCGGGGAATCTTTGTCGCCAGTCCACATTGCACAAGGCCCGGTCCAATCTTGCCCCTTTGGAAGTGACAACATCGGATCCACGAGCCCAAGTTAGGCGAGGCCCACTAAACCCTAAGTCAATTAGGCCTTCCCCACTTATCCAATCCACAAAGTCCGAACTTCTTTGAGTAGAGTAAGCATTATAATTTAACGTTTCTTCCTGGCAGGAGACGGCATTGAAATCCCCTGCCACGAGCCAAGGCCCACTAATCCTCCTCTTGCTGCTTTGGAGTTCATCCCACATCCGCTTTCTCAGTTGATGTACCGGGCTACCATACACAATAGCGAACGCCCACGGTTCCTCTCCTCCTTCCTGTACCTGCACAAGAACAAATTGCGGGTGAGTAAAGAGTACCTCAATATGAAGGGGATGGTTCCAAAAAACCCATATGCCACCACTAAACCCCACGGCTTCCACCCTAACCCAATCTTCGTAACCAAATTTAGAACAGATATTATTGGCATGTGTCCCAGAGACTCTCGGCTCCACCAACCCAACGATACTTGGTTTGTGGGTCTTGATTAAATGCTTGAGGACGCGGTGGAAATCCCTATCACCTGCACCCCTGGCAATTCCAGATAAGACTTAACATTAAAACAAAGAAACAGAGATGTAATAGACACAACCAACGAAGACCAAACCAATGGCAGAGCGCGACTAGCCAGTGTCGACGCCAGCGGCGTCGGTTCCGTGACCCCCTCCTGGTTCGCCGTCCACTTCCATGACAGCGTCTCCATCTTCATCTATGCCATCGGGATCGTTGCTGTGATGTTCTCTTGTGCCATCTCCTTCTTGGACGTGATCCTCCCCATCCAGAGACACGGCCACCACTCTTTCAGTCTGGATGAGCTTTCCTCCATGTGATCCCCTCACAACAACGTGTTCATCTGCTTCTGCCGCCCTTCTTGAACCGTTCCCCGCCACACTCTGAAGGTCACTGACCTTCTTCTTTCCCTTGGTGGTGGCATGCTGGCGTGCCTCCTTCTGGTTGTCGATCTGTTTCTCATTGACAATCACGTTCGCCCTCCGCTGCTTCCTACCAATACTTATATTTCGGCCATCGTTCTTTATGATCTCTTGTGTCTGGTCACCCCTAGTTTCTCCCTCAACTTCGACCTCCGGCACTTCAGCACCTCCGATTCCCGCAGCTTCCATCTCACGTAATTCGTCCAGAGGTTGGAACCGTGATTTGCCCTGGCTCATCGGCGCCCCCTCCTTACGGTGCTTGCCTTGCTCTGGCTTTTGGGGAAACCGTCGCTGAGGTTTGGTGACCACCATCCACGACCCATAAGGCTTCGCTGTAGTCTCCGCGTCGGCACTGCTCTGGACTGCCGCTTCCTGTTCTGCCACGGCTGGCCCCCTCTCGATCTCTCCTGCCATCGCAGTGCTCTTTGTAGCCGGACATGCCTCTTGTGCATGGCCATATTTCCCACACCCGAAGCAGACCAGATGGAGTCCCTCGTAGGCTATGAAACGGCGCTTCCCCTCCAGCGTGAATTTGGACAGCAACGGCTTGGTAACGTCTATCTCGACACAGATCCGCACGAATCTCCCTCTGGATGCTTGGCTTGTCGCATGATCAACACGGACTGGACGCCCGATCTTGTCACCAACCTTCCGAAGGAATATCCCGCTGTAGTACTCGATGGGGAGACAAGGGAACCGCACCCACACCAGAACCTTCTCCGTTTTGTCCGTCATGGGGTCGAAATTTGGCTCCCATTCCTTGACGATCAAATAATGATCAAGGATCATCCAAGGTCCTTCGAATTTGGCGAAGTCTAGATCCTCCTTGGATCCAAACTTGACTAGAAAGTAGTCATTATCGATCGCGATCATCTCAAAGCTGCCTTTGGGCCGCCATAACGCGCAGAGCTTCCGCATGAGGAAAGAGTATCCTACCCGTTTTCCCCATACCTTGATTATGAGCACTTGCCTCCATGGCTCCCTGATCGCCTCCTTTTCCCTCTTGGTAAATCTGATGGTCGGACACAACGGATCCTCATCTTCCTCCGATTGGTCCTCGTCGGATGAACTGTCGTCGTCAGCCTGATCTCCCAAAGAGGAGTCGACTAATGTGATCGCATTTCTGGCAACAGCATCTCTGAACGATCGCAGTGGTTGGGCCGGCCTCGAATGGTCTACTGATGCGTCGCACATCACCATCGCCTCAAGAGGCGTTTCTTGCACTACGTCGACGTGTGTCTCCATGAACCTCGATGGCTCAGCCCCGCCGCGTTTCGACTTCTTAGTGCTCCGTTCGAGCAGATCCTCGTCCTCCGGTGAGCGTTGTTTCGAGAGCGTTTTTTCCATCAAAGGTGACATAGTAAACAATAATAATAAATTGTTCAACCAACTAAATTACTAAATTCTTTAGTAATTTGTACATATACATATATATTAAGGGGCTGGGGAGGGGTGAAGGTGGGCAGCTGCCCCATTGTAGCTTGCTCATGTACTTTGTAAAGAATTATGAGTGTTTTAAAAAATATATTAAATTTGAAAACTAAAAAAGAAAATAAATAATGAAGTTACAAAAATGTTGTTAAATTAAATAATGGATGTAATAAGTCCAAAAAATTCATGATAGAACAAAAGTCAAATGTATGTCCCTACGGACCTACTTCCACTTATGATAGGGATTTATATTTCTCTGGTGTTTTTCATATTTCTCTGGCGTTTTTCATATTTCTCTGGCGTTTTTCATTTTTCCTTGTTGGCCAAGCTAAGTTTGTCTTCTTCAACTATTTTTCTACAAAATATTTTCTGTTTCTTTCTCCCAAAACATAGAGTTAATTAAAATTTTACTCTCTAAATATATACCCATATCATCTCCATATATTTTTATCTAGCTTTAATTACTTCATAAAATTGCTTCTTCTTCTTCTTTTTTTTTTTTGGTTCCCAGTGGTAATATATAGAATATTATTATTATTATTAATAGCTAACTTCTATGAGAGAGAGAAAGGATTCTGCATGTGAGAAATCTATAAATTAGGAAGAAGTGAGAGGGAGAGACAAACTGACAAAAGATATATATAGAGATAATATTTTACCATGCAATCAGGGGCGGAGCCAGGAATGAGTAGTGCGGGGGGCCAACTACGGTTGAAATACTAAATCAAATACATTGATATCCAGTTAACATATTTCAAAATAATCATTACATTACAAATTTAATAAAGTTTAAAATAAATAATTTATAATTGAATCTATATTAAATTATTTTGTAATATGCTTTTCAATGCACATTGCTTTGTACGGTTGAAAAAATGAAAACATTCACGCATTTTTTAAAAAGACTATTGATTATTTCTTGAAAACTACCATCTCCACAACATAACATAATAGCAATTGTTTTCTTAAATACATATACTACACAATTTTTATATTATTATGCATGTTAAATTAAATACAACATTTATCACGTAACCACAAATAATCTGCATAATTAACCAAACAAATGCACCTTCATATCCATTATTTATAAAACAAAATCACTATTTAAAATAAAAAATAGAATATGAAACAAAAATTAACCAAACATGTAGTTAGAAACAAAACAAAAAAACAAAAAAAAAAAAAACAAAAAAACAAAAAAATAAAATTAACTTGAAAAATATGCATAAATTTTAATGACAAATTATCTTGTTATAGCATATATACCGCATATATGTATAGTTCTAGAGAGAGAAACTAGTAGGCAGGTTAAATGATATTTAATAATTTGAATGTGAGTCAACAATATAGTGAATACATAATTTGAAATGGGAGACAGCGGGAGATGTTGAGAAGATGAAGAAGTTTATAACTTAACTTGTAGAATTAATTTAAGTGGGAGGGGGACCAAATATTTTGAATGAACAACAAAATTTTAATATTCTATATAATATTTTTTAAAAAAATTAATATTATATTTAATATTTAAAAAAAAAAAATTGGGGGTGAGGGGGGGGCAAGGCCCCCCTTGGCATACCTTTGCCTCCGCCCCTGCATGCAATGGATTCATATGATAATGATGGGCAAACCAATGAGTGATCCTGCAAGTGTCATGCATGCGTCCCATCGGGTCGAAAGGGTGAAGTAGTAATATAAGTGAAGATTTCCAACTCAAAAAAAAAAAAAAAAAAAAAAAATACTTCTCATTTTAAAGGGGCCATGTGATTTATTTTTGGACATAGTTTGTGATAATTAAGGTAAAGTGATTGAATTTTTCGCACGTTTGGTCCCACAATTATAATGTCACTAACAACTTTGATCCACAATTTATAAAATATACAGAATTGGTCCACGACTATTACTTTCTTAGGAATTTGGTCCTTCCAGCGCATTCTCCGTTCAATTTTAGCTGAAATTTTTTTTTTTTCACATTTTTAACGTGGATAATATTGTCTTTTTTCATCTCACCATCAGTAATAGTGTATTTTACCCTTTCATCTTTTTTTTTTTTAAATCTTCTTATATTTAACAATATTACAAAAATATTATTTAAGATGCATTTGGCGATTTATTTATTTTTCGTAGCGATCATAATTGAATAAACAATGTGCAATGTTCACTTTCGCATCTCTATCGCCCGTCAGCATGTTCAACATAAAATATACTTAAACACATAATACACAAATTACGTATACAATTTAACTATTAATTTAAACATTTAATCAACGTCGAACACAGTGACTAATTCACTCACAGAATTATAAACACCTCTAATTTAGACTGATTTTTAATTAATATCAAATTTTGAAATTTATTACCCATTGAGTATTTTACTACTTATTACTACTTATATTTATAATAATATGTGTTAATTTGTTATATTTATAGTTTGTTACGTATTAGTACGTATATTTATAATGTGCATTAATTTGTGTGATTTATAATATGTTACTAGTTTTTTACGCGCATTGCGCGATTGGGATAATGCCCAATGTTTTTCTTAAATAAGTATTTTAAAGTATATCAATGCAAGATTATATTGGAATTGTTCATGCATAGATAATTGAACGTTGAATTTGCGTATTTAAATGGGTAATTCTAAGTTTATAAATGCAAGATAATATAGTCAAGATTGATTATAATTGTCAATAAAATAATTGTATGGGTATGGTTGAAACCAAATACGGGATATAAGGGGGAGCAAATAAAAATTTGTTGGTCCCGGTAGGGTCGAAAAGAGAGTCTAGAGGAGGGGGGGGGGGTGAATAGACTCAATTCGATTTTACAGAAATAACTCCTTTCGGGGTTATCACGCAGCGAAATTGTTAGACGAGTTTTATATTGCTTTGCACTGTTTGTTGCTTTATGAGAACTTTCGGTTGTGAGAGAATATGATATGCAATGCACGAAAGTAAAGCAGAGAATAAGTAAGGAGAGAGGGACGAGAGATTTTTATAGTGGTTCGGCCAATTGTGCCTACTCGACTCTTCTTTCACAACTCGTGAAAGGTTTGCATTATCACTCCTAGGAGGGGGGGGGGGTGAATAGACTCAATTCGATTTTACAGAAATAACTCCTTTCGGGGTTATCACGCAGCGAAATTGTTAGACGAGTTTTATATTGCTTTGCACTGTTTGTTGCTTTATGAGAACTTTCGGTTGTGAGAGAATATGATATGCAATGCATGAAAGTAAAGCAGAGAATAAGTAAGGAGAGAGGGACGAGAGATTTTTATAGTGGTTCGGCCAACTGTGCCTACTCGACTCTTCTTTCACAACTCGTGAAAGGTTTGCATTATCACTCCTAGTATAATCTACACCAAGCTAGCTTCCTTGATCACTAAGCCGGACATCTGCTTGTAGGTTTTTCAACTCCTAGAGTTTACTCCGCCTCTATCAACGTCTTCTTCAGAGTTGAGGGTTGGAAGAAAAGATTTGCGTGTTTCTCCAACAGGTTGAAGTCTTGGCTGACTGGTTGAATGATGGATGATCAACGTATATAAGATGCAAGACTTCTTCAAGGTTGTGAAGGTGAAATATGATAATTCTTCTTGTAAACTTCACACCTTGAAACACTGGTTTTCAAAAGCTTGAGAGAGTGAACTTGTATAAGGAGCTTTTGAATGTGTATGATTAGTTGATGTAAAAATCAGCAACTTCTACTATGGAGAAGATGGGTATTTATAGGAGAGGAAATATTCATCTGTTGGAGGGAGATGACATTTCAAACCTATGAACCAGTGGGTAAAGACCGGAGAGCCTGGTGCATTTATTGCTTCATTAAATGTGGTTGTACCATATAGTCGTTGGAGGCAAGAACTTCTGCAAGTTTTGTCTTCTAGCTCTAAAAAGATGTATTATTGCATTTAATGCACCTTGTCCTTAGAACGTCTTTTTCCTAGGATGATTCATCAGCTGAGAAAGAAACAACATTATCCTTGAATTATGAGAATATGGATTGTCTTGGCAGTCTGATCATAGACTTAACGTCTTTTCACGAAAGTTTGCTTTCGTCCTAAAAAGGAGCATCTCTCCATTTGTTGAAGATCCGGGAAGTGGTTTTTCTTGCTGATGTAGTGTTAGGAACCTTGTATTAAGATTTTGATGATACCAATGTAATGTAGAAAAGTAGACCCCTAACTATTAGCTTTTTCGTTCGCTGCTTTCGTCCTAGACGAGAGTTGCCATAACTCCTTTGTAATTCGTGTTAAGCTAAACAAACACACGAAAATGAGTTATGATTAGATGTTAAGGTCTCCCAGACGAAAGAAGACACGAGGCATGGTGAACAATCAACGAAAGATAAGCTGGAGTTGTCAACTATCACGAAAGGACAGTTTTGTTAAAGACGAATCCTATCAAGCATTACTTCTCTTCATCAACGAGAAGAATGTTCTACCTGTCTGATTTGACAATATCCTAGGACAATAAGGACTTCATCTTCTGGGACACACTTTTCAAGGAGCATTAAATGAAGATGTACCATCTCCTGGAGCTAAAGGACAAAACCCTAATGCTTTCCATACCTTCAACGACTACATGGTACAACCTCATTAATGGAGCATTTAATGCATGAAGCTCCCCGGTCCTTGTCCACTGGTTAAAAGGTTCGAAAATTTCATCTCCCTCCAACGGATGAATTTTCATCACCTATAAAAACCCACCTTCATCAACTAAGAAGGTGCTGGTTCATTATCACTCGACTCATTTACTTGCAAAAGCTCTTGAACGCTCTTAAATTTTCAAAAGCTTTTGTGAACCAGTATTGAGGTGTTAAGTTACTTGAAGAAGGTCTTTGATCATTTTCTTACACCTCAAAAGAAGTCTTGCAATCTGTTCGAAGCAATCATCTCTCAGTCAAGACTTCATCGTTGGAAATCAAGAAAT